CAGTACTGCAGTCGTGCTAGAGAGGTAATTTCTTGTGGGTTAGTTCACGGTTTCGAGAAAGAATATTTGAAGTTTTGAGGTATTCCACACTGATTTTCTTAAAAAGCCTATTTTCGCTCTTTTTCCACTTTTTTTATACGTTTTTGCATAGATGCAATCACTAAAATTCATATTGTGACGGCCCATGCTGAGTGTGTATATGTATCTGTCCGGATATTTCAACTCGGCGACCGAACGTTCGTTGGCGCTGAGATTTTGCCAGTGTGTTCCCCAGCTAGGGTATCCTGGGCCCGCGGCACTCACTTCCACGCACGTATGATTCTCGCTGTGAGCATGCGAAGATACTGGTGGGGAAATTGTTAACTTGGGAACCAGAAAAGCTGACTTTTAAGAACATATTCATTGCCCACATACAACTTACAGGTTTCAAACTCAGCTCCTAGCCACGCTTGGTTCTCGCGCACGAGTGTGTGAAAATTTCGGCGGGCACTGGTTAGTTTGGGAGCCAGAATGGCTAGGCTGTTTTGCGTGAATGGCCGCCCAACATGAATTATTTTCATTTTCTTTTATACAAAATTTATAGTGATTTACAGCAATGAGTGTATATGTTAAATGTAAAGCAACAGCAATTCATGCAGTTGATGACCTGGTTGCTTCAAGTTCGAAAACGAATGATTGCACCGGCAAATTTGGTACTTCCTAGCCGAGTTTTTCCGAGAATCCACAGGGCTAGTATAGATGAGGGAAAAACGAGAAGGGGAAAAACCCGTACTTTTCAAATTTTCTCCGAAGTTAACTGTACCGTTTTTAATTCGCAGTCATAGTACGATTTGAAACACCAAGAATTTCAAGATTGCCAGTGATGCCAGCGTGTAAATCTGATGGTCTCACAGGCCTGACCGGCGCCAGGCCTTTCGATTCTGAGCTGTATGCCTGTAGTTTAATACCCATTGCCTGTTCTATGAATATGTGCCACCTCTTTGGAAGTCATCCAAATAGTCGATAACTTTCTCGTAAATGGCCCTCACTAGCACACAGCGTCTACTGATTGCCGGCAAAATTGGCAGTATTCCAGCTATGGGATTTTATTTCTTCGAAATACAGTGCAGTGCTGATTTTCTAGCCTAAATTTGTGCTGTCATTTTGATTCATATGCAAATGATAACAGCACTACCGGTCCCTACACTAAATTATAACTATCTGTGCTGAATTACAGGGCTAATCTGAGTTTCTGGCCAAAATTTACAGTTACAGCCAAAATCCAATGCTTCCATTCCGAATTTTTTAGTTCAGATAATGAGCGATAACTAAAAATGGCCTAAATCTCCAAAGCATTTTAGCCTGTCACTCTTTGGAAGTATGAATTCATGGCGCTTCAGTTTACACAAAGCTGTTTCATTAGTTTACACTGTCGTATTTTGATTTTTGCCTGTGGATTTGTGAAAGCCTCGAATTTCGGGTTACAGAAATGCTGGAACTCACAGTTGAGTACTTTAGCCCCTCGTGCTGGTATGTTATGTGGCCCGGTAAATTTAGCCCAGTTCGGCGGTATGCAGATTTAGTACTATTCTGCCATTTGGCCAGTCTGTTGATTTGCTTCTTTTTAAGACTTTTATGCATTGATGTATTACAGACGTTGTGAAGGTGCTGCTGCGGTAAATCGTGTTGCGCCGGCCTCCGTGCAACAAGTCGAACAAGGCGCCGCGTTTCGCTCAGTCCCCCCACTCAGTGTGCTTGTACAGGTTTGAGCATTGCCGTGCCACTTTTAACGTTTCAGTTTTTTTTCTTTTATTATTTCAACGTGCATATAACTTTTTAAGGCGCGTGCCTACTCTACGAGCAGCTCTGTGCCTCCGCTACTATTCCTCCCAGAGAAGCCCCCCCCCCTCTCTCTCCCCGCCGAAAAGAGGTAAGCAGCTGTAGTTGCAAGAAATACAATTCTGGAATGTATGAGACCGATTCAAACGGTAAAAGTCGCTAGTGTGCTACAGGATCATTGATGTAATAGTAAATATACCGAGTTTGAAGGATCCTGTCCCGTTTGTATTTTTGCAAAATGAAATTTTGTTCTCGACATCGCCCCCCTCCTTTTCTTGCTCATTTCGCTTTTTGGGATCAGATTTATCTGAAAAAAAAAACATCTCGAAAAAAAATAGCAGGAAAATGGAAATGAAAAGTGAGTTATATGTAGTGGTTGTGAAGTTTATGGCGAAAACGGTTCCGGGCTTAATTTTGCATGTAACCGTTCTGTGCATATTGATCGTTAGTTATGAGCATTTTTTTCCCCCTTTGTTCCAAGGATTTGCCGTTTTTGATAAGCCAGTGCAATAATCTAGACACCGCTGGAGCCAAGTGAAACAAGAGTTGTTGCCAGTGGCGTGGTGGTGCCATTTGGTCCGCCACTCAGTAATGCTTCGACGACAGCTGGTGCCAGCGAAGTAGCAGCGAGAAATATGTCCGCAAACGGTGATATTCAGGCTCCCGAAAGCCAGTCTTCGCAGTTTAGAAATGTACAAAGGTGAGCTATTAGCACTGCATTTCATGGCTGCTTCTCGCCTCTGATATCGCTGAGAACTCCACTTATGGGAGGAGAGCTATGCTGCGCCAGCTCATAAGCTGTTTAATTCGCTCTTTAAAGTCATGTTGGTTAGACTTTGTTGCTTTACCAGTATCCTTGATAATCCGATTGTAGGTATATTTACCCTAAATCTGTGGAATTTGAACTTTAGCTGCTCTGATTGCCAATGCACATAAATGTCTGCGCCATTTTTCATGCGCCCCTGTCTAGTAGTTATCA